GTTAAGAACATAAGTTCCCCCTCAAGATTGGCTCACAAATTCAATACTTCATTCAACTTGTAAAATATGATGGGGTACATGGGGTATTTATAGTTGTAAAATAAGTCTAAGCCTAAATCTACTAGATCTCCTAAATCTTGCAAGAATAGAAATCCTAAGTCTAGAAAGCAATAAAATCCTAAAGCTACCAAATAACTATTGCTTGGCTTGCACACCAAGCAAATCTAGAAGCTCCCTAATTAAAACCCTACATTAAAACTTCGGCCGCCCCTTACGCGTCGTGCCGCCCGTCCGTGTGCCCTAGTCCTTGGCGCGCGAGGCATCGCGCGCCCCGCGTGTCCCGTACGCGTGCGCCCCAGCTTCTCCTAGTCCCGCGCGGACTGGGCCTTGTCCATCCGCGCACGCGTCATCCTTCGCGCATCCCTGATTGTAATATCCCGACTTTTATCAGTGTAATAATATTTTAGTTCCGATATTATTTTTCGGAGCTTATTATTTTCAGTTATTTCAGTCGAAATTACCGGAAAATATTTTCGACGTACCGTTTACGTTCGCAATAATTTTGGTAATTTAGCATTATGTTTAATTGGATAATTAAACATAATTAAGTGATTAATTTAAATTAATCACGAGATTAGCTTAATTGTTCGGATTTTATTCCGAGTTCATGTTCATAGCCGTGCATTGTTCGCAAATGCCGTGCATTGCTCGGTCCATGTCCTTGTGCATAATGTCGTGCATACGCTCGTGCGTGTGTTCGGGAATCCGTGCGCGCGTGTTCGGTCCGAGAGATCCCTCCAACTTAGTCCATGTACGCCGTGCAAGCATTAGTGGGCGGAGTGTCCAAGGCTTGTGTATATCCGTGCCCAACATTTTCATGTGTATCCGTGCGCCCTCCCTTGGCTTGTAGTGTAGCATTTTGTCTTCATTGCCGTGCATCATGTGAGCATTTTGACCGAGCATCTTCCCTCATTTTTCTTGGCAATTCACGTGAGAATGAGACAAATTTTTTTTAGTGCATGATGGCCATGTGTCTAGCCTTTGACCGAACCCCCTCACTCCCCATGCATTCGGCCATCATAAAAGAGGGGACTTAAGAAACTTTCACCTTCTTTTCATGCCTATTTTCACTAAGTTGCCGAGAGATATAGTAAGAGTGGTGAGAATTGTTGAGTGTTATTCTCGTTCATTGCCGAGAGTCCGCGTGCACGCGAGCCATCACGCGTCCGAGAGCCATCGCGCGTAGCAACAGCCCGTCACGCGTATCGCAAGCAAGTATCGCACGCGAGCAGCGAGCCCGAGTACACAACGCACGATCGCACGCGGAGTTCTTCACGGCCGAGAGCACGGTTCCGAGTCGTTTAACCTCTTGAGCTTAATAAGAGGTAAGTTCCCGACGGCTATTAATCCGAGAGTATCATGTTTAGATTTTATTTGCATGCATGCGCTTTATATGAATTATAGTCGTAGCCGTGCGTGAGCCGCGCCTTGCGTGTCATGTTATAAATTGATTCACCGAATCATGTACGATTTTCATCGAATTCTCCGAGCAATCCTCGCATACTTAGCTTTTATTTGCGAAATCATGTTCAATTGAACTTAAGTATTCGGATGATTTTACTCATGTTAGTAGAAGGTTGGCCGAGAGGGGCGTGGTCGCACACGTAGTGCGCACCACGGCCACCCGAGTACCATTTCATGATAAGTTACAACCTTCGACCATTATGTGTTATTATGTTCAGTAAATCATGTTTAAGTTCAATTATAATTGAATTGCCGAGAGATAATATGGTTCAGTAAATCATGTTTAAGTTCAATTTCACGATGATGTCTTGATGCCATCGGAGTTCGTGCTGCTACTGCTATCGATCCTCTCGAGGTGAGTTTGGCCTCGGGACGAAAGATAGTGACTTCAGCTAAAGCCTCAGATCTTAGCCTTTCCATCGGTGGCCGAGTTTTGCCTACCGACGCATTTGTTCTCGAGATGAAGGACTTCGACCTTATTCTCGGAATGGATTGGCTATCCTTTTATCATGCAGATATCAAATGTCGCAATCGGGAGATTACTCTCTATCTTCCGGAAGACGAGTCGATCACTTTCTTCAGCTCCAGAAACCGTTCTTTGCCTCAGGTTGTTTCTATGGCGAAAGCCACTAAGTTGCTGCGACGAGGCAACTACCAGGGTTATCTGGTGAGCCTTGTCGATTCTCAGAAAGCGCATTCACCTCACGATGTTCCAGTCGTTCGAGAGTTTGTGGACGTATTCCCAGACGAGCTTCCAGGAGGACCGCCCGACCGTCAGGTGGAGTTTTCTATCGATCTCATCCCAGGGGCTGGTCCGATATCCAAAGCCCCGTACCGTATGGCTCCTAAGGAGTTGCAGGAGCTTAAGGCGCAGATTCAGGAGTTGTTGCGACTCGGTTTCATCCGACCGAGTGTGTCACCTTGGGGAGCACCCGTTCTCTTTGTTAAGAAGAAGGACAGATCCATGCGCATGTGCATCGACTACCGGGATCTTAACCGGTTGACGATCAAGAACAAGTACCCGCTTCCCAGGATCGATGACTTATTTGATCAGCTAAGGGGAGCCTGTGTGTTCTCGAAGATTGATCTTCGATCAGGCTACCACCAGCTGAAGATCAAGGAGTCAGATATCGCTAAGACCGCTTTCAGGACTCGTTACGGCCATTACGAGTTCGTAGTCATGCCTTTCGGTCTCAGCAATGCGCCAGCAGTTTTCATGGATCTCATGAACCGTATTTTCTATTCCTACCTCGATCAGTTTGTTATTGTCTTTATTGACGATATTCTTGTCTACTCGAAGAGCCAGAGGGAGCACGAGGAGCATCTGAGGGTGGTTCTTGAAACCCTCAGACGAGAAAAGTTGTTTGCGAAATTCTCCAAATGCGAGTTCTGGCTTCAGCGAGTATACTTTCTGGGTCATATGATTACTCAGACAGGTATCGAGGTGGATCCATCTAAAGTTTCAGCTGTTCAGAATTGGTCAGCACCGAGGAGTCCGACTGAGGTTCGCAGTTTTCTCGGTCTAGCTGGATACTATCGAAGGTTCATCGAGGGCTTTTCCAAGATTGCCCTCCCTCTATCCCAGCTGACGAGGAAGTCTGTGAAGTTCGAGTGGACTGACAGATGTGAGTCGAGCTTTCAGGAGCTCAAGAGGAGATTAACTTCAGTACCGGTGTTGACTATTCCCGATCCTTCTCGGAGTTTCACCATTTTCAGTGATGCTTCGAAGCAAGGCTTGGGATGTGTCCTTATGCAGGACGGCCAGGTCGTTGCGTATGCTTCCCGTCAGCTTAAGCCGCATGAGCAGAATTATCCGACGCACGACTTGGAGTTAGCAGCAGTCGTTCATGCTCTCAAGATTTGGCGACACTATCTTTACGGCGGTCACTGTGAGATTTTCACAGATCATAAGAGCCTGCAGTATATCGTTACTCAGAAGGAGCTCAACATGAGACAGCGCCGTTGGTTAGAGCTCATCAAGGATTACGACTGCTCTATTCAGTACCATCTGGGAAAGGCGAACGTCGTTGCAGATGCCCTAAGCCGTCAGGTGAAGGGTGATTTGACGTACGTCATTACTCAGCAGAGTCCGCTGATTCAGGAGTTTGCCCGAATGCAGCTTCAGGCGATTGATGCACTTCCCATAGCAGTTTCGGGGAGTACCAGTGCCAGTGTCAGTGCTATGCAGCTTCAGCCGACGCTAAGAGAGAGAATCCGGCGAGAACAGGCTTCTGACGAATTCATTCGTGTCATGGAGGCCAAGGTTCGCGCCGAAGGCGTCGAGGGTTTTCAGCTAGGTGCCGATGGTGCCCTAGAGTTCAGAGGCAGGATCGTGGTCCCGAAGGTCGAGGCGTTGCGGAAGGAGATTTTATCAGAGGCCCATACCGCACCCTATTTAGCCCATCCAGGGAGCACGAAGATGTATCACGACTTGAAAGGGTCGTTCTGGTGGCGAGGCATGAAGAAGGACGTCGCCGAGTTCGTCAAGAGATGTTTAACCTGTCAGCAAGTTAAAGCCGAGCATCAGAGTCCGATTGGCCTCCTACAGCAAGTTAAAGCCGTACGCTGAGTTCGCGTATAACAACAGCTATCATTCCTCTATTCAGATGGCTCCTTTCGAGGCACTTTACGGTCGTAAGTGTCGTTCCCCTCTTTATTGGGACGACGTCGGAGAGCGACGAGTACTCGGTCCCCAGTTGATCGAGGAGACAGCAGATCAGGTCGAGTTGATCCGGCAGAGGCTCAGGACAGCTCAGAGTCGTCAGAAATCTTCCGCCGATCATCATCGACGAGACATTCAGTTTGAGGTTGGCGAGCACGCCTTTCTCAGAGTTCGTCCGGTTCGCGGAGTTGTGCGTTTCGGCAAGAGAGGGAAGTTGCACCCTCGATTCATCGGTCCGTTCGAGGTTCTCGAACGAGTAGGCGAGGTCGCGTATCGCTTAGCTCTACCTCCCGAGTTATCAGGCATTCATAATGTATTCCACGCATCTATGTTGCGTAAGTACATGTGCGACCCCGATCATGTTATTCCTCATTCAGATATTCAGGTTCAGTCAGATCTTTCGTACGAGGAGCGACCGGTAGCTGTTCTGGACCGTCAGGTTCGTCGGCTTTGGAAGCGAGATATTCCCCTCGTGCGCATTCAGTGGGATCGCCACGGAGCTACTTGGGAGGAGGAGTCCGATATTCGCGCTCGTTTTCCAGATTTTCAGTTTTAGTTTATTTTCATGTATGTATTTTCAGTTATGTTCAGAATTTCCGAGGACGGAAATTTTGTAAGGAGGGAGGATTGTAATATCCCGACTTTTATCAGTGTAATAATATTTTAGTTCCGATATTATTTTTCGGAGCATATTATTTTCAGTTATTTCAGTCGAAATTACCGGAAAATATTTTCGACGTACCGTTTACGTTCGGAATAATTTTGGTAATTTAGCATTATGTTTAATTGGATAATTAAACATAATTAAGTGATTAATTTAAATTAATCACGAGATTAGCTTAATTGTTCGGATTTTATTCCGAGTTCATGTTCATAGCCGTGCATTGTTCGCAAATGCCGTGCATTGCTCGGTCCATGTCCTTGTGCATAATGCCGTGCATACGCTCGTGCGTGTGTTCGAGAATCCGTGCGCGAGTGTTCGGTCCGAGAGATCCCTCCAACTTAGTCCATGTACGCCGTGCAAGCATTAGTGGGCGGAGTGTCCAAGGCTTGTGTATATCCGTGCCCAATATTTTCATGTGTATCCGTGCGCCCTCCCTTGGCTTGTAGTGTAGCATTTTGTCTTCATTGCCGTGCATCATGTGAGCATTTTGACCGAGCATCTTCCCTCATTTTTCTTGGCAATTCACGTGAGAATGAGACAAATTTTTTTTAGTGCATGATGGCCATGTGTCTAGCCTTTGACCGAACCCCCTCACTCCCCATGCATTCGGCCATCATAAAAGAGGGGACTTAAGAAACTTTCACCTTCTTTTCACGCCTATTTTCACTAAGTTGCCGAGAGATATAGTAAGAGTGGTGAGAATTGTTTAGTGTTATTCTCGTTCATTGCCGAGAGTCCGCGTGCACGCGAGCCATCACGCGTCCGAGAGCCATCGCGCGTAGCAGCAGCCCGTCACGCGTATCGCAAGCAAGTATCGCACGCGAGCAGCGAGCCCGAGTACGCAACGCACGATCGCACGCGGAGTTCTTCACGGCCGAGAGCACGGTTCCGAGTCGTTTAACCTTTTGAGCTTAATAAGAGGTAAGTTCCCGACGGCTATTAATCCGAGAGTATCATGTTTAGATTTTATTTGCATGCATGCACTTTATATGAATTATAGTCGTAGCCGTGCGTGAGCCGCGCCTTGCATGTCATGTTATAAATTGATTCACCGAATCATGTACGATTTTCATCAAATTCTCCGAGCAATCCTCGCATACTTAGCTTTTATTTGCGAAATCATGTTTAATTGAACTTAAGTATTCGGATGATTTTACTCATGTTAGTAGAAGGTTGGCCGAGAGGGGCGTGGTCGCACACGTAGTTCGCACCACGGCCACCCGAGTACCATTTCATGATAAGTTACAACCTTCGACCATTATGTGTTATTATGTTCAGTAAATCATGTTTAAGTTCAATTATAATTGAATTGCCGAGAGATAATATGGTTCGGTCGAGGAACGGCACAACGTCGTCGGCGGTTGATGCGGAAGTGGTGATCGAGCCCGGAGAACACAAGAGTTGGACAGGCGTGGCCGATGGGCGAATGGGCGAGAGACGCGCATCGGGTGGTGATGCGCGGGCGTTGGGCGTACACGCGGGCAGAGTCCTCGGAAAGACGGGCACTCGACGGCACGCGCGCGAGAGGATCGATTGGAACCGGGCGCGCAAGAAAGCATGCGGGTGTAGCGCAAACGCGGGAGTCCTACACCGCGAAGGCATAGGCGTGCTGGACGCGTACGCGCACAATTGGGCAACTAGCGGCAATAGCGCGCCATGGGCAAGGAACGCAATTGGGGCAATGTTGGGTGCACGCACGGGTAGGCAGCGCGCGGGATTTAGCGGGACGCGCGGGCCGAAGGGCAACGGACGTGCAGGGCGCGCGTCACGCGTGAATAAGAGTGACGCAGGTGGAGGCCTAGGCAGCGTCAGAATAGGCGTGGCATGGGCGACCGGTTGGTACGCGCCAACCAGCGCGCGCGAGCAGACGGCGCACGCATCAGCACGCGTGTGGGGTGACGGGCGCCGGCGAGTCCGCGGCCTTCAAGGACTAGGCGCCATGGGACGCGCACGTGTACGCGAGGGGCGGTCGCGCATTAAGTCGGCCGAGAGATTGGGGGCGTGTGAATTACTTGGGCATCAAGTTGTGCTTGGTGTGCAAGTAACTTGGAGATCAAGACCTTCTAGTTTATTAGGATTCTATTAGATATTTACTTTCCTTATTGCTTTTATTTATTAGTAGAAAAAGATATTAGGAGATTTGCTAGCAATAGGATTTATTTACTGCACAGTTTAGGAGATCTAGTTAGATTAGAATTA